TGAGGGCCATGAACACAAACACCGTGCAGACGGACATAAAGGCGTCCACGGCCTTTAGATAGGAAACGGGTGGCAAGGACGATTGAGATTTCGCATGTTGCGTGGATAGGGTTAGCAGGGAGGTGACCCCCAGGGTCACGCGAGCTGGAGCCGCCTCCGGCTTGATCCAGAAGGATACCCAGGACATGATCACTATCATGCAGGTGGGTATGTAGGTGTTGAAGACGTAGTAGACCAAACGGCGCTTGAGGGTGAACACAACCTCCAGGCAGGTGAAGTTGCCCGTGGAATAGACCTGGGTGCAGTCCGCCGTCTCGTTCCGGATGAGGGCCACCTGCGGCAGTTCGATGTTTTCGTCCACCACCAGGGGCGTGGTGGGATCCCACTGGAATATCAGGTCGTCTGTGGTGTGGGACACTAAAATAAAATGTAAATAGTACCTAAAGATGCTTCATCGTTTAGGAAATCTTACAGCTCTCCATCTGCAGCTTGCACTCCTGAGTGTCGTGTGGGTAGATGGCAAAGTTCATGATGCAGGACAGTTTGAGGGTCAGCTTGACCATGTAGAGTATCGTCTTGTCCTTGTACAGCCACATGTAGTGATTGGGTATGGTCATCGTCTGAAAGGTCACCGATTTGGCGTTCTTGAAGAACGAATCCGGACGCCACATATTCTTTAGCCAGTCCACCTCCAGCAATCGGTACTCCTGCGTCATATTTTCCGGCAATCTCAGGCGGTGATCCTTCCAAGTCTGGGCGAAGAACACATCAGCCACATAGGTCATAGAGTTCTCATCGATGGAGTCCAGACCCATAACCGTCACATGGAAGTAGACTATCGTGGGCTGGCCCTCCTTCTTGGGCGGTCTCATCTTATCGTAGCGCTTGATGTCCTCGGGAAGGATGTCGGTTATGGCCAGGCTTTGTCTGGTTTTTGAATAAAATTAAGATACGATATTCGGGTTGGAGCCGTTTTTATACTCACTGAAACTCCCCTTTAGCATAGTGCTTCAGGCAGATGGTGCAGATCACCAGAATAATTATTTGGACCACCATTTCTAGCTAAGCTGCGTCTAATTAAATTTATAAATGGTTAATTATTATTTTGCATTTTAAGTAAGACATGTTACTATCTAATATATATTACCTTAGAGATGTTAAATAAAATATTTTAATAATGTATTATTCCTTTTTTTGGGATTATTAATAATGATATAAAACTTTAATGCTCAAAATCTGGTCACTTTAATATGTTTAGAGAAATTTTCTGTGCCCTTCCCGACACCTATTTTCTGTTAGAATTAGTATTATTTTCACGGTTCTTCCTGACAAAAGGTCGTCGCCGAAGCAAACAACTTGAAGCGATTTCCCGGTCTGTGTCTGTGTCGCGACCTTCCACCAGGTGGAAAGGATCAAAGGCTTTCGAAGGGTCGTCCTGGCATTGACAATGCATCGAGAGCGATTGGCACGAAAATAGCAACCATTATGCCGCTTAACCAAGTAAATAAAATGGGGGACGAGACCGAAAGACAAAAAGGCAGTTGCCTTCGACAATGCCTACGCCTCGATAGCCTCGGCATTGGGAGCCCTGTAGTCCGAATCCAAATGCAGGATGGCAACCCTGGCCGCAGGACACAGACAGCAATACCTGTCGTCGTCGCAGTTGCTCGCTGCACAATACCGTCTTAATTCACAATTAAAGCCACTCGAAGGGGCGGAATGCGGTGGGCGGTGGGTGAACCGTGCCTTAAGTGGCCCATGCGCCTTTTTATGAGCCCGCGAGGATGCCACGCCCCCTGCTCCTGCCCCAGTAGCCGCCCCCATCCCACATGACGAACACGAGGAAGAAAGCGGGCAATGAAAGAATCCTGCCAATGCTGCAGAGCCCCCATTAGACAAGGACAATTGCCACGGCACAAGTCTGAGGTTCTCCTTCTTCTCGGCAAATTGGGCCAACTTAAAGCATCAGCGATTTTAAATAAAGAATTCATTAATAGGCTGCAATACATTTGATGCTTTAATTGGTTGATCAAAATATTTCAAATATTTCAAAATGTGATTATTTTAATACCAGAACTCAGATCTTTCGTTTATACTGAGTGAAAGTTAATAACTTTTAAGGAGGCGTTTTATAAAAAAAAAACCTTAAGATCTTATGGAAAAATAACCATTAACCGTTAACCATTAACATTATAGAAAGGAATAAAAATGTAAAAATATTATTTTTTATTATATAAAGGGTTTAAGCCATTATTTTGGCTTAAAAGATTATTTGACGAACAAATTTAAAAAAAGGTTTTTCAAGTAAAAGTGCTTAATTCAATATAATTGACAAACACTTTTTACACGTGCATACCAAATTCGCACATACAAATATTTTTATTTTATACTTTTCAAGATATTGCTTGGTATTTTAGAAACCGATGTTACACAATTTTAAAACGTTGAAAAAGTTTTTAGTTTTTTGAAAAGTAAAATTTTTTTTAATAATCAGATTGCTTTTTGACAGCTTTTTATATAATATTACCAATTGAATAATTTGTAATTTTCTAACATTTCTTAAAACTAGCAAGCAGCTTTAATAGTATTTTCTAAACTAAAAAAGCTGTGTATGTTATTCAGCGGATTATATTTCAATTAAGTTGTTGAAAAATCTTGACAAAAGCAGTTTTAAGTTTTCAAGAAAGTTTTAAAATCTTACACAGTTATCGGATGAAATCGGCGAAAACGGTTCTCTTGCAGTCAACTTTTATTCGTTTGGCTATCGAAGCTATAGATTTCTGTTGGATTTCTGGAATCTTCACAGAGATTACATAACCATCAGCTTGACGCGCTAACTGACATCTTTAAAAAACACCACTTTTTATTAATTTTCCGGAATATTTTAGATCGTTTATTGAGATGTCAAATATGGATTATATTTTTTATTAAATATTCTGCACACTTCAGCATTTAATAGTTGACTGGATTTATTTTTTAAGATTTAGTTCTTTCCGTTTTGAACGTCTTGGCAGTTCAAACTTTCGCTGACAACTGACAGTTGGAGGCGAGCAGATTTGAATTTAAAACGTTGCCAGGCACGAGCGAAAAGTTCACCAACGAAGGATGCAGGATGCTTGACGCTGGGTTGGTATAAGTGTCCGTGCGTGTGGGTGAGTCCTTTTCCGACTGGTGGGAAAAACAAAAGTGAAAGCCGCCAGAAGCATAGTCTTTAATATTGGGAGAACAAGGAACTATCGGCCCATGGATGTTTGTATATGCGTCTATATATAGGCCAGGCAAATATCCTTTCCCCAACCAGGGCTGCATCGCCATGGGCCCTGTGTATTTGTCACTTAACATAATTTCCTCGAGTACTTTGGCATTGCCTCCTTTTGCCACATAATCTGCTCGGCTCTGTCGTCATCGACATTGTTGTCATTCGCCGCACCCTTCTCGCCCAGAACACGATGATGCACCGCCGGATGTGGAGGGCAGGACCTTCAATTTCGCATCATGGCAAAATGCGACATTTGTCTATCGATTCTACTCGTTTAATTTGGGGGAAAATTCTTGAATATATGTATACTGCAGTTGTTTCGTTCGCTTTTATTTGTTCACACTTGGATTCTTAAGTTTCGAGCATTTTTCAATCAATTTCCTTGTTAGCCCGCTCTTAACAAGTGCTCCGCAAGTTGCCAAGTGGCCCCAGAAGTGGCATTTGTCGCATCAAAAGTTGGGGCCAGTGGCATCCTCGAGGGGGACAGGACACTTGGAGACCCTGGCTAATGAATGCAGTGCCACGGTAATCCTGGGATCCCCCCTCTGACGTCACACGGAGTGCACAATTGGAATAACAAAGAATAGAAAAGAAAAGCCGGAGGAAAACGGCAGGGAAAATCAAGTTTAATGAGATGACAAAAGCGCTTGGTGAACTGGGAAATCGTTGAGCTAAAAATATGCAGGATATCGGAAATACAAAGCGCAGGGAGTTATAGAAAATTCTATAGAGATAAATTCACCGCAAATATGAAAACTTATAATAATAGGATATTCATATAAGTGATTATGTTGGATAAGACAACTGCACTGGAACAACATATTCATTTTTCATTAGCTTATGTATATTTTTGCGGTCGTTGCAGGTAAACCTTTTCTTTTCCAAAAATGTTAAAACAAATAATATATTTTTATTATATTAACAATACATTCTTTTAAATATTTGTGCAAAAAAAACAACGAATTCTTTAAAATAAATAAACATTGGACTTCCAGTTACAAGGTTAGTTTCCCTACTGTTAGAACATTTTTTAATTTTTATGAAAAATGATGAGCCCTTTTAGAGACTCTATTTTCAGAATTATATAATTTAAGTTAACTAAGTGGTAGCTCAGCTCATATTAACAAAAATCATAAATAAACACATTGCTTCCTTCTTCAAATTCCTGGCGACCTTGTGTGACGCAGTTGTCACCCAATGCACACACATCTGAAACATCTTTCTATGGGTATATATTGTGAGTCCCCGAGACCTGCCACGCCCACCCGCCCCAAGCACTACTCAACGCCTTGCCGCAACACTCTTGAGCGGATTCCATACATCCTTTCTGGCTTTCTGGCCTCCGAGCGAAGAAGAAGACTCGTCGTTATTAAATTATCTCTGATGCGATAATAGCACACTTAAGTTACCACCTCATCCACGCCCCTCTCTATTGATGGGGCCGCTATAAAAAGCCGCTGATTTTTCTATAGTTTATTCGAATGCAGTCGAGCTTGGACCTGTTCTGAGTGCTCCTATTCCCCACCAGCCTCGGAATCCACCCCCACTAAGTGGTGCTCTTAAGTTTCTGCTGAGGGCAGCATCGGGGCGGTGGCTATGGCAAATTCGCAAAGGTTTTGGCGCACTTGCAATTTGAATACTTTTGGGTGGGGGAGTGAAAGGAACTAGGGAACTTTTCACTTGTGTGTTTGGCTTTTGACAAGCGCCACTACGTCATAGAAAATGTTGTAAAATAAATTATGAGAAAAATAGATACAGAAACGGAAACTTATTTAGGCAAAAAGAATAAAGCTGTGACGTCAAGAGAGCCAAGGTTGCAGAGTTATCCAGACTGGTCATCGGATTACCTGGATTTACTCGCACTGAGAAGTTAGGATCTTACAAGATGAGCGTAAATTGGATTGTATGGGCCAAAACCAATCGCAATGTTGGCCTGCAAACGGAAATTGGAGATGATTTTCTTGTTATTATTGAGGTAATATAACTAATTTGAGTTCTGAATTCTGTTTAAAAAGTATGCTTTGTTAATCAGCTTCCCATTTCTCAAATGGGAAGATTCTTAACCATTGATTGAACTAATATTTTAGAACCGAATATACATATTAATTTGCTTATCGAAATCTCCGGAAACCTTATTGATACACGATATACACATAAGTAGTTGACAATAGTCAATACTAAAAATAATTAGATTTCTTATATATATAGGATTGGATTGGATAGATTGGGATTGACATTAAATTATTCTAAACTCATTGAATCTGTTAAAGAAAAAATTAGATAAATTCGAACTACTCTTTAGAAGTCACACTTCCCTTGCATTTCAATGGTTAGTATAAGCTTATCGAATACAGCTTTTACTAAAGGTTAGTCCAAGATAATTCCGCTTTAATCGAACGCTGAGATATCAGCCAATCATATCTTTTCCGTTTCACTTCCTGCCACTGAAAGGCAGACAAAATCCCATTAAATATTAATCGCCAGCTTTGGCGAGCGGGGAAACCACACAGTGTCCCACAGAAGATGTGACCCACATTGGCGGCACGCGGAAGTTCGGTGAATGGAACCTCCGCCCACCGCCCACATGTTCCAACTCCACCCACTTCATTCATGAAAAGCCTCAAAGCGAGGACATTGAACCGCCCGGGAGTAGCTAATCAGGGAGTTTCGGCATGGGGATGATGCATACATGGGTGGTATGCGGTTGGAGGGTGGCTGATGGGTGGTTTTTTTTTGGGTGGTGGCTCTGTCCAGCAACAGATGCCACAGGAGAGAGCCAACGAGAGAGAAAGGAAGAGAGCTGGCCAGGTGGGCCGCCACATTGTTGACAAACAAACCTGTAGCCGCTGGCCAACACGTGGCGTTTTGGCCCAGTGGGTGGTGGCCAGGGTGGTTCCATTGTCAACCCACCAGGGCGCATGCTCCGGATTCGCAGACAGCTGAGCGCGAAGCCGTGACGTCGCTATTGATTTTTACACAATCGCCGGACGCGCATCGCTGCAATTTGGATTTGCACGGACGAACACGGAGCCACAGAATGCTTTAAAGGACCCGCGGCGCATCCTTCGAGCGGCTAAAACAGAGGCTTTATTGCAGGCGCAGCTTGGCGGTGCCACCGCAGCGGCGGAACCGGACCCAAAGATGATCAAACTGCGACCATATGTGCCCTCCAAGAGGATTGCCATACGGGACTCGTCCATCGATGAGGACGCCAGCGACGATGTCGAGGACGAGGTGTTCATCAAGGATGCCAGGTCGGCGAAGGTAAGTACTTCAATCGGAAATCATAAAGGAAAAGAGTTATTTCAATTATGAAATGAAGTTTAATCCTGTTAAGAAGGGTTAATAAAAGAGTGGTGGGACTTTGTCTAAAGTTTCAAGTGTACAGATAAAAAAATGTTTTGTGAAAAAGTCTGGACCATATTTTCTTAGTTTTTATACATATAAGGTGACTCTTTTCTATTGTAAACAACAGATAACAAAGAGGTGGCCGTATCATATCATACATTTGGCGCTTCCATATGCTGACTTCAGTGTTGTAATCTTTCAAAGCCATCTATTTTCTTTTGTTTATAAAACAGTGATAAGAAAACTCCGCTGTGCTATTAGTTATCCTTATTAATTATTCAGTACTTAAAATGTTTTTATTGACTTTTTAGAGCTAAAAAATTTATTATATATTTACTATATCTTGAAAAATTGTGTATAAATTTATAATATTAGTAACCTTATCTTATCCTTATTTATAAAAATATTTAACCCACGAGTTATGTGTTGATATCTAAAAAATGAGTTTCTGGCTGAAAATAAAACAAGTATATCGTACTTCTAAAAATAAAATAAAAAATAATACTAAAAATAATATTTAGAACTTCCTTTATAGTTGAAAATATAAAATCCTAATTGAATCTTAGTTCCAAATACAAATTAATTAACCTGTTATTGCTTCTCCCCCACAGCGCAGCGAGGAGCAGGGTCTGAAGAGACCCCTGATGGCGCCGCGTCGCAAGCACAGTCCAGGATCTGGACCCGGTTCGGGGTCAGGTTCTACTCCCATTATGAAGCAGCACAGGAGGCGGCGCTGCTGTCGCTGCTGCGAGCCCTTCTGCTACGCCCTGGCCGCCCTAACGGTGCTCTGCGCCCTGCTCAGCCTGGCGGCCCTTATGCTGACGCTCTTCCCGCTGCCGCTGCAGCGCATCCGCCACTGGTGGCGCCCCGATCCCGCCCAGCTGGCTGCCATCTCAGCGGGCGCCTCCCGCATCGCATACGGCAGCTCCATGGGCAGCGAGTTCGTGCCCTGCACCCAGATCAGTGTCCAGAAGAGATGGACCCGCAGCTTGGCCCGCATGAACAGCGAGAGTCCTCTTCGGGCGGCCGATCTGAATGGCGACGGCATCAAGGACGTGGTCTTTGGTTACGGAGTGGACGACAACATCCACTACGAGGGCATCCCCTTGCCGCGCTGTCAGTCCGCTCAGCAGGGGGAGGAGGTGCCTTGCGAGGGTGGCGTGGTGGCCTTGAACGGACTGGATGGCTCCATTTTGTGGCAATCTTGGAGCGTGGCGAACGTCTTCTCGCTGCACTGCAGCGCGGATGTGGACGGCGATGGAGGCACCGATTGCGTGGCTGCTGGAAGGTTGGGGGTAAGTGGAATTTCTATATTATACAACCATCTATTTTAAGAAGAGGTATCAAAACCCTACACGCGAAAAAATGCACGTTATATTTTAAAAAAATCGGAGGATCCCGCTATTTTTGTAAAGTTTTTTAAAACAAATTTCCTTCATTAGGGACTTATTTGTCAATATCAGGTTACATTTTAACATTGAGTTAAAAAGCTATTTTGGAAAAATTTTCTATACCAATATCAAGTTAACTTCATGTCATGTTCTAGTTAAATTTGTTAATGACTATAATGAAACGTACGAACTCTATTAAGATTTGATATTTGAAAATTTAACGACATACGATTTAATAACATACTTAGAACATCAATCAGACAATAAAAAACCAGTCCTTAGTAAATTTGCTTTATTTTAAAAACATTTTTTAGGAGTACATTTACTTTCCTGCTTATGGAAATAAATGCTATTTACTTCCAATTTCTAAAATTTGGGGTGGATGTACTTTTGAGTCTAGAAGGTCGAATAGCAAACATCATTTCAAGGTTTTTTAAGCGACTGCGACAACCAATTCCTTATAAGGAAAGGGCAACACATCTAATTTAATGTATTTTTATCACCCGACAGATGATCTACGCCATAAACGGCCGCACTGGTTCCATAATCTGGCGCTTCCGCGAGTTAGAAGTGGAGACCAACTCCCCCATCGTCATGGACCTGTACACGATCAACGTTCTGCGCGATCTGGACGGGGATTCGGTGCCGGAGATAATAGCAGCCCATCTGGAAGAGCGCGAGGAGTCCAAGGCGGGGCACATTAAGCTGATCTCGGGGAAGACGGGCAAGGTGATCCGGAGCATTCCAACGCCCTACCGCGAGGAGATGTTTGTGCCCATTCAGCTGCTCACACAGACGGATGGAACGGAGCTCCTGCTGATCGTCACGGGGGGTCAGAACACGCCGGGTGGTATCTACTCCTTGCGACTGCACTCCCTGATGGCGCACACCAGTGAGAAGCACTTCACCCCGCTGCATCGACAACCGGGATCGGGTTTGATGGTGCCCGCCGTAATAACCGATCTGAATGGCGATGGCATCTCGGACGTGGTGGTGGCCGCCTTCAACCGGAGTGTCCTGGCCTTCGACGGAGCCAACTACACCATGATGTGGAACTACACCTTTCCGGCCAGCGAGTGCGTCAGTGCCATTGTGCCGGGCCTCTTTGACCACGACAATGTCACGGATTTCATGGTGAAGTACAACACGGGACCGGGATTCCCAGTCTACTACTACTCGCAGACCACCATCCTGAGTGGCAAAAATGGACAGCCCCTGCTGAGTGCCGTGATGACGGATGCTGGAGGTGCGAATAGCCTCCTGGGAGGGGTTTCCATCTCGCAGAGCTTCGGAGGCGACTTCTTCCTGCACTGGCAGCTGCAGTGCCGCAATCGTCCGGATGCCCGGGATGCCTACGAATTCGTCCCCGATAGCGACATCATACTCCAGGCCAGGGCCGATACATGTCGGCTGAGGTATAATGAGTCCACGGTGCTCAAGCTCTACGGGATTGCCAGGCACATTGAGCCACCAGGAGCGGTTTTGTTCAGCACCGATGATCTGGAGGTTCGGCTGAATCGCACACAACGACCGGCGGCGGCGGCGGGAAAGAAATCTCCACTGAAGCATCCCAAGCTGCTTAAGAAGCTCCTGGACGGAAATCGGGAGCAACTACTTCGCCAGGTGGCCGCCGGAAAGGTATTTGAAAATGGTAATGGAAATAGTAATGGTATCGGTGGGGCAACGGAACAACCTGGTAGGCGATCAAAAGCCCACCACAGGCACAATCCTCTGATGGAGCAGCAACTGCAGGAGTTACTACCTCAGGGAGCAGAGAACGAGCTGCCCAGTTTTGGAATGGGAGGAGGTTACCCCAAGGAAGCCTACAAGGAGTTTGTAAGTGGTCCACTTTTAAGATATTACTATACACTGATAAAGTAGTAAATCAAGAGATCTCATATTCAACTTAAATATTTTTTTAATAATTTTAAATCTCAACCGGTTTTTGTATTACATTTAAATGGTGAAATACTAAATTTAACAATCATACTTAGTTTAAAGATTTTAAACATTGATATCAAAACGAAAATATTGTTTTTTAATCTCGCGAAATATTGGAAGTGAATATGATTAACATTCTTCTTAATATTTTTAAAATTGATTTGTTTTATAAATTATGTTGAATTAAATTCAAATATTTAGTAAGTACTTTATTTTTAATTCAACATACAGATATTTGTTGCTACAGTTCCTTTTTATGAGTGTATATCTTATGAACATTATATATTTAGCAGAAGGACTACGAAGGCCTACAGCTGCCGCCGGAAAGTGCCAATCCTCTGCGTGTTCCGGAGGAATACGAGCTGGTGTACAACGACGAAGTGCCTCCGCTTCTGGAGCAGAGTGACCGTGACAGGCCCATCCACCTGCGGTCCAAGTATCCCAGCGCAGGGAGTCGCGATGTGCGCAGCGGGTTCCTGGAGGCCAGGGGAGGCACCATTTCCACCTCCACCACCCAAGGCACGCCCAGTTCCACCGGGCAACCCATGTCCGCCCAGTCCCCGCTCAGCCTTTGGGATCTGGAGCTGGACAACGAGGCGCGGGAACAGGCTGTGGACGCCCAGGAAGGCAACAAAAAGCAGAAAAGGCGTCGCAAGAGACGCGAGAGTGCTTCCGGAACCACGACTGCAACTGGCGAGGATTCCCCTGGGCGAGAGGAGTCCTCCGGAGCGGACTGGTACTTGGCTTCCATCTCATCCACCGGCGTGCTGCTGAAGGCCCTGGGCAACGCCAGTTCCTCGCTGGACTTTGCCTTCGTCCTCAACATCCGCGAATCGGAGGCCTATCCGCCGCTCTTCTCGCCACAGGACCTCAGCTGCGTCGAGGAGAAGATCAGCGCCTACAAGAGTAAGTGAACCGAGCCTTGGGGAACTCGAGGTCAAAGCTTGAATATTTACTTATAGCAGGCGAACAACCAGATGCTTAGTCATATGCAAATTTATTTTAACTTTATCTTGACCAAAATGTTATATTATCAAAAACCCCATAAGATCACTTCCGTTTAACTTGATAATAGCCATACGATACTGACCTTAATATCGGCTAACTGACTTTTTTTATTAAATATGGCATGGTAATTTATAGCTTTTTTCTCCGGGGTGTTCATTACATTTTTAGGGCCATATTTTTTAAATATGCTAAATATAAAAAAAATATTTTTTAACTTTTTAATACTTTGAATATTGTAAGAACTTTAAGCTCTTTATACACCGAAAAAAAATCATAGAAAGGCAACTATTGTTACAATAATTATACACTATTCAGTATCGATTTTGTGTCGATAACATGAGTATTTAATAAATACTTCTGATAGTATTTAATTAAAACTAAATGGCTTAAAAATAATAATATAAATCGAAATTTTAGACTGTTTAATATAAAAAGTAAACTGTAAAGTATAGACTTTATATTGTTTAGTCTTCAATACCTTAATACACCTTCAACTCCTTTGGTGTATGAATATCCTTATTGTCCAATATCAAAGACATTTTTAATTTTTTTTATAGATCTTTTAAATCCAGTTGACAAAGGCTAGCAAAGTGGATCGAAACAAGAAAGTCGTAATATTTTCAAAATTTCCCCGATAATTTCAGGCTACACCATCGACAACCTGCGCGTGCTGCGCAAACAGTTCCTGAAGCAGTGCCTCAGCGAGCGTCTGGTGGACGCGGAGCCGGCCCTTCCCAAGTTCGAGTCGCAGCTGATGGTGACCCGCATCGGGATCACGTGCACCTGCCGCTCCCTGCGACCCGGCGAGGTCTGCTCGGAGCTGGATCCCCTCGAGGCGCAGCACTGGACGGAGTTCATGGGGAACTCGGGACACGGCTTCTATGCCAACCACTAATCGCTAATCGCTGGCGGCGGAGGAGTTCCCGGCGGAGGATAGGGTCCTTTTGGCCCCCCGACGCCGAAACATCCCGCCACCCGGCCTATCTCTTTCTCTCAATGTCTCTGTCAACAGTCACTATTGTAATTTATCGTCATTTGCGTGTTGTGGGGTTTCTTGTAATCGTAACAGTATTTACCTGCGTGTATTTGTGTATATTTTACGAGTTCTTTTGACAAATAAATCTAATCCAATTACAAACTATTAGGCCTTCATCCTACGCACTATCCAGTTGAAAAAGGCTTTGGTTTTCGTGTAAACAGCTGGATATCCAATAGTTCCACAGGTTGAATGTCCGAAGGAGGTGATGCCGACTTGATATATGAACTCTGTGTGGTAGCCTTTCATGGTGGCCATCAGTGGACTGCCGGAGTCGCCATCACAGGTGTCCACACCATTCCGGCCACGGGCACATATTTGGGTCTTGAAGTTGAACTGCAGGTGTAGAAACATTTCCGAGCATCTATTTGGGTGCACTTCTGTGACGTCCCCTCTCCTCAGTACTTCGCTAAACCATCCATTTTCCATTTTTCCCCATCCGGCTACTTCAAGCCTGGCATTCGTCAAGGCGGGGTGATCCCTTAGAAGGCATATCGGCCTGATTCCTTTACTAAAGCTAAGGAAACAGACATTTCAGATCAGTCTTGAATCAATCTTAATAAGTCACTAAAACATTAAGATATAAAAGAAAGGAATATTATTATTTCTATATCTAGAGCAAGTATATTTTGGGACCAGGGAGAGCTCATATGAGATCAACATATGATTTCAACAAATTTAAGAACCACCTTTGAGTGTTGGTATTATTACTTTGATATGTCAATATTTATTTAAGTATACGAAAGTATAATCCATAATGATATAAAAGAAATCGCGGATAAGTGGGTTTGATCATCACTTGTGAGGTCCCTTTCTAAGATGATTTGTCTTTTCTTGTCGGGTAATCATTACTTACCGTACTGGCATTTTGAGTCGCAAAAGGGCAATGTCGTGCTGCATAAGCCTCTGTGCACCCTTCTTGTAACGCCCATGGACAAAGGATTCCTCCACGTCGACGTCAATATGAGGAACAGCACATCGGAGTCTGCGATCACTGCATTCCCAGTCATATGGGGTTTCCCAGATGTTGTGCTCGCCGAGACGTACACTCTTGAGCGTAAGGGCATCCGGCATGTTAGCTATACAGTGGGCAGCGGTCAGAACATAACGATTGTTGATCAGAGATCCCGCACATGAAGGAATTATCTCCATGGATGTGTTGTTCATATACAGAAGCATGGCCATCCAGGGAAACTCATTAGGACTCGTCTCTTGGCCCCGCGCAATTCGGTATCCAGCTGGACTCCTCCCACAGATATAAGTATTTGGAAGCTCATTACCAGGCTTGGGGCAGCAGATCTTTTGGGGCCCCAAGTATTGAAAGTAATCGATGCCGTATTCCCTTCTCATTAAACTCGTCATTTCAGTATTATACACGTGGGGGCACTGATCCAATCTGATGTGTTTTTCATCCGGTTGGCAATCTGAAAGGAAAGCAGAAACAGATTATTTTCCAAGCTCACGAAGCACTCATATTATTGCTGTATGACGAGAAATGGTACAATCTTTAAAATTATGTTTTAAAGCTAACTCAAAAAAAACATATTCGGAAAAACCCATTATGATAAAACGCTAGGAAGTATTGCTTATCAGTACACAAAGCCCCAACGCAACAAAATATTTGTTCTTAAAAAGAAAGTTAAGTGCAATAATAATTTATTTATATAATTAGATTCGCATATTTTTGTAATCCGAGAAATGTGAAATTGGAGACTACCTTCTGATGTGCCTTATTCTAAATTTATATAGTTACACACCTTAATTTTTAAAAAAATAATTCTCACAATCACAAATATTTTTAAATGTGTAAATATAAATATGGTTGCAAAATTAAACATTGTTGCTACAAAACTTAATCAACATTAGAGTACCCTCGGCAACAATTACCATTTGGAGCTGAATGTGCCAGACAAAAAGCCTGGATCAGGAACAAAAAACAAACTTTCAGCGCGAAGAACATGTTGACCCGTCTGGGTTTAAAATAAGACTGATTACTTTTTCGCAAGATGTTTTGACAAATAAAAAAAATACGTACTCATGCCAGAGGGAAAGTCCAGAACCCAATCGCTGTGAAACTGTTTTATGTTTTTATAAACTTGCGTATCTACTTCCTCTAACTGGGGACAAAAATGGGACGATGGCGGCCAAAAATGTTTGCAGTGAAGATAAAATACCAAATTTTTAGCCGAAACTTTTAAAGTTTTACAAAAATGGCGAATATGTTTTCGAAAACTGATTAGTAAGTCTTCTTTATGTAAATATATCAGCAAAATGAATGCAGCATATTGTGAATTAAATTATTTTGCTCATTCTAGGTAGGTTAATAAAACTGGTTTGTTGTATGTTCCTCATACAATTTAAACCCTCTTTTTAAAACTTCTTTTTGAAAATATCTGAAATAAATTATCTTTTCTTATGTTAAGGAAATTGTTGGTATAAGTGTCTATTATTAAAGTTATCAAAGTTGGAATGTAAATCGATTTTTTTACATCTTTTAAATGTTATTTATAATGTAATTGAATTCAATCTATTATTATTTTGGCTCAGTAATTAGTAATAACTCATTACAGTTACAGACCAGTAATTTTCGAATTTGACTGGGGAGTTCTTTGTTAAGATAGCATCACGGCCTTTCACTTCAGGGTTCCCTGAGCCCCTTGGTAATGCTATCTTGAGTGCCAAAAACAGCTGATCAGGGCTGCCGAATTCCGGGCGACGCACCGCTGGTCAATAAATAAAAACCGAACTTTTGTTTTACTTAAACCTTTGCATGCCCGGCCCCCAATAGCGAAATCCAGCAGCATGGGCATCCTAGAGAAGATTGCGGAGATCGAGCGCGAAATCGCGCGGACGCAGAAGAACAAAGGTTTGCGAAGTTTGCCGCGCTGGCCATCGGCATCGGAATTTAGGTTAGGATTTGGGCTGGGAGTTGCTAAATCTGCATGTTCTCTTTTCCCGACCCTCTTCCCCAGCCACCGAGTACCATTTGGGCCTGCTGAAGGCGAAGTTGGCCAAGTACCGCTCCCAGCTGCTGGAGCCGTCCAAGAAGGGCGAAAAGGCGATGGATTCGATGTGCTCAAAAGTGGAGATGCCCGGGTGGCTTTGATCGGCTTTCCCTCCGTGGGCAAGTCCACAATGTTGTCCACCCTGACCAAAACGGAATCGGAGGCGGGTATGTGCTTCACAGATTGGTATTCCCATAGTCCCCTTTTAATTTGTACACCCAATCCTGGCAGCCAACTATGAGTTCACCACTTTAACCTGCATTCCGGGCGTCATCGAGTACCAGGGCGCCAATATCCAGCTGCTGGATCTGCCCGGAATCATCGAGGGTGCTGCCCAGGGCAAGGGGCGTGGTCGCCAGGTCATTGCTGTGGCCCGTACCGCCGACCTGGTTCTCATGATGCTGGACGCCACCAAGCCAAATGTCCACCGGGAGCTGCTCGAACGGGAGCTGGAGTGCGTGGGCATCAGGTTGAACAAGCGCAAGCCCAACATCTACTTCAAGCAGAAGAAGGGCGGTGGCCTGAGCTTCAATGCCACCTGTGCCCTCACGCGCTGCAACGAGAAAATGGTCCAGACCATCCTGCACTCCTTTAAGATCTTCAATGCCGAGGTGCTGTTCCGCGAGGACTGCACCGAGGACGAGTTCATCGACGTGGTCACAGCCAATCGTGTGTATCTGCCCTGTCTGTATGTCTACAACAAAATCGATCAGATCTCCATCGAGGAGGTGGACCGCCTGGCGCGCCAACCGAACTCGATTGTGGTCAGTTGCAACATGAAGCTGAATTTGGACTACATGCTGGAGGCGCTTTGGGAGGCACTGCAGCTGATTAGGGTTTACACAAAGAAGCCGGGTGCTCCGCCGGACTTCGACGACGGATTGATTCTCAGAAAGGCAAGATTGTGATACTTCTTCCCTGTAAAAGTCCTCTAATCTCTGACCTTTCTCCCGTTCCACAGGGTGTCAGTGTGGAGCACGTGTGCCACGCCATCCATCGCACGCTGGCGGCACAATTCAAGTACGCCCTGGTGTGGGGCACCTCCACAAAATACTCGCCGCAGCGCGTCGGAATCGCCCATGTAATGGCCGACGAGGATGTCATCCAGGTGGTAAAGAAGTGAAGATTGTTGCAGATGAAATATATATTCTATGCTATAACTAAACCCGAAAGTCTTGAGTCTCTTGTACATAACGATTTATTCAAACTGGGGAAAACAATGCCATTTTCACTTGGCTGCCGCATTGCTGGCGGAACTGGCCGCCGCCGCATAGGACTTGTTCATCAAAGCCGAGATGTTGGAGAAGGGCGTTGGACCGCTGCTAATCCTCTGAGGTTCCACCGACGGCAGCGGAGGATTATCGATCCGCTCGAAGACGTTGGTGGCGTCCCGCAGTCGATAACGCCTCAGGTTCAGGTAGTGCTCCTTTTGTTCCTCCACTCGCTGGTGCAGCTCATGCAAACGTCCCGCCAGCGAGATGAAGCTCTCGTTCAGCTGACGAAAGCCGCGCTTCAGGTCCTCCGGCGAAATACTCTGCGGATTGGACAGAGCGTGCATGTGTCGCTCGGTCAGGGCAATCTGCTGGCGAAAGGCGATCAAATCCTGCTCGTACTTTGCCACCAGGCACTGAAAGTACTGGAAGGGAGCACTGTGCTCGAACTGCAGACCGGCGGGCGTGTCCTGTGTGCGCTGGGCCATCTCCAGAGATTGAATCGCTTTGGCTGTCTCCTGACGCATGAGCCGGATCTGCTGATTGTTGCCCTCCACCGAGTTGGCCATATTCTGCAGGGCCCACTTCAAGTTGGTAATCTCGTGGCTCACATTGGTGAACTTGGAGGTGGAAGTACGGCCAATGTCCGAGGATATGGTCTTCTGCTGCTTAATATACGCTTTCAGGGCATCCACTGTCTTGACTATCTCGTCGGGCACTTGGGTCTCCTTGATCTGGGGGGAAAGTATGAGTTAAGTCACTTAGTTAATTTGCAATATAGCTTGCACTCACCTTTATCCCATCCTGCTTGTTGTCCCCCAACTTGGGCTGCGTGGCACTCACATCGATCCCGCCCAGACCCACAAAAGTCGAGGCCGCCGGGGCAGCTGGCTTGCCAAAGATTCCTCCTCCTCCTCCGATGCCCGTTGTGGCATTGGTGGTGCCCAGTTTCAGGCCCGTATTAAAGGGCTGTGCCGTAGCCGTCGTTGTGGTGGTGTTGAAGTTCAAACTAGCCGCCGTGGTGGCCTGTGGCTTGGCGAAGGCAAAGGATCCAATGCCGGTGCCCAGACTACCTGGCATCGCAGCTGCAGCCGTTGTGGCTGTGGCCCCGAATCCAAAGGCCGGCGGAGCTGTGGTTGGAGCGCTTGTGGCCGGAGTGGCAAAGGAGAAAGTTGGTGCCACGGTGCCCACAGCGGGTGCAGGTGCGCCAAAGCCCTGGGCCTGGGTGGCAGCTGGAGCTCCGAAGGCGGGAGTGGCCGCTGGAGCCCCAAAGGCGGGAGTTGCTGCTGGAGCCCCAAAGGCGGGAGTGGCCGCTGGAGCTGCTCCAAAGGCGGGAGTGGCTGCTGGAGCCCCAAAGGCGGAAGTAGCTGCTGGAGCTCCAAAGGCGGGAGTTGCAGCGGGAGCTGCTCCGAAAGCAGGAGTGGCAGCTGGAGCACCAAAAGCTGGAGTGGCCGCTGGGGCGCCAAAAGCAGGCGTGGCCACCGGAGCGGCAAACAAGGTGGCTTGTCCGAATGACGGCGTGGAGGTGGCTGCTCCGAAGGACGGAGGAGGAGCCGTCGTCGTCGCTGGTCGCGCGCCAAAAGCAAAAGCGCCCGGTGCTGCAGTGCCGCCTCCAATGGAGGCGTTCGTGTTGGGCGTGAACATCTCGGGAAGCCCCTCTTAACGGTTTACACAAGAATTTGAAATAGTTTATGTACTTTACTGCTGGAAATTGCCAAATTAATTGTCTTTAACGTGAGGGATGCATCGATTATAAAACTGTTTGATTAGAGATGACACTATCAATATTATCGATAGGAGGCGACAAAGAACTAAAATTTTAAATATAAAATGTATACATCTTAATATACATTTAAATATATAAAAACGCAACTTAAATTTAAAAGGATTATGAAGTTTTTTATTTTCGTTAAAAAATAATCTCTTTTTCGTGTATGGTGAGTTTTGAACAGTTGTCATGGTTGTAATGTGATGTCTAATCGATAGTTTTTATTTTCTTAAATGATATAAACAAATATTTGGATACGGTTAATATTGCATTGCCAAAAAATTCTTGACTTTAAAACATATCAGTAGTACATATCACTATATGAGCATAATCTATTTAAAAATATAAGATTTAAAATATATTGTTTCGTAGATAAAAAAAAATGTGTATATCTAAAAATTCTTTATTAATATAATCATATATCAATATTGTATTTTATAAGGTATACAAAAGGTATACGGCATAAAATAATATTGCTTATAAGAAAACCATATCGATATCTTATCGACCACTGTCATCCCCAGAAGTTCCGCATCAACCACACCCACACCACTAAGGCCCCGAGGTGAGTTTCCGTGTGTGTGACTTCGTCATATGACATTTTTCACAGTTCAATTCGGTTCAGTTTTCAATTCGGTCGCACTTGATTTTTTCGACTTGCACAGAACAGTACGGGGAATTAGAAGTTGGAAATCATGGCCAGCCAGACGCAGGGAATCCAGCAGTTGCTCGCTGCCGAGAAAAAGGCAGCCGAGAAGGTCGCCGAGGCCCGTAAACGTGAGTTTTCCAATTGCCAAAATGTATTTTCACGCCAATTGGCAGAAACGGCAGGGCGAAAAAGTAACTGGGCTTTTTTCACCACCCCTCTGCCACCATAATGGCCGTTGTGTGTGGGTCACATGATGTGGTGGAAAAAAGTAAATACAAGTCGAACTTCCATAACTCGAAATTCCTCTTAATGGAGCTATATTAACTGATGTTTAAGGGATACAGAGACCTTTAATATAGATTTGATCGATTCTATAACTTATGTTTTTTGTGAGAGTTGGGGAACGATGTTATGGAAGGTCGACTTTGATAGGGGCTCTCGAGTTCTACTGACTTCATCTGGATTTCTGGGTAATCCCTTAGGCAAGGCAAGGAGGTTGAAGCAGGCCAAGGACGAGGCCACCGAGGAGATTGAGAAATTCCGTCAGGAGCGCGAGCGCGCCTTCAAGGAGTTCGAGGCCAAGGTGAGTTGGCTAGTGGGATAGGGCCGCCCTATATAGCATAATCTGACTCGTAATCCCCAATTCCAGCACATGGGCAGTCGCGAGGGCGTGGCGGCCAAGATCGATGCGGATACCCGCGTCAAGCTGGCCGACATGGACCGGGCCATCCAGACCCGCAAGGAACCCGTCATCCAGGAGATCTGCAGTACGTCTACAACATCTCGCCCGAGGTGCACAAGAACTACAACCACAAGTAAACTGGTGGCCCCCATTGAGCTGCCCTGTGTGCTGTAAATTCAATGTCCACGTTCAACTCTAATCCATAATTTAGACCCGTAATAATAGTGGTTATATCTAACTGAAAACACTGCTGTATTATTATTCCATACATTAAAGTGAAAATTCGTTGTTGTTCCATGTAAAAATAGCGAAAATATTAGTTCGTCTCCCATCCGCTCCGGATTGTATTATCTTTGTTTTGTGTTTTGCCCAATACACGTTGTTGTTTAATCCGAAAAATCATGTGTTTCAATTGTTTTCCTGATTTTGGCTTGGACAGGTTTTCTATATACATATATCTGCAGTGTAGTCAGCTGCTTCATGTGATAAGCTTTTTCAGTGGGTGGGTTTCATCGGTTTTCAACACTGAAGCAAACGATAGTCACGACCCGGGTAATAAGAAAAAATTAAATTAAATAATATATATAATATAATCACTCAAATAGGATTATATGTAAGGCTATTGTTACCTATATCCATATACTGAAAAATTATAGCCTTAGCACTGTGACCTTTAAGTACTAAAACATTAGGATAAGAAGTGCTACATCATGTTAATTTTAAGCAATGGTTATTATAAAATAATTGGTTTTTGTATATAAGCAGCATGGACTGCCAATATCCAAAGATATATTAAGGTTTTTCAAAGTATATCTGAAAAATGTAATTTTAAAAAAATATGTGATTTATTATTATTATCAAACTGTATACCTTTCAAATTGCGCGCCAATATAACGATACATCGTCGTGATCCAATTGGTAAACCCCCACCACTTAAAAATTTTAGTAGTTTATCACAGTACATTGGCAAAAACGGTTTTGCTCTCAGTTCTCCGCCGTTAAATCAACGGAAATTGATTGATAATTATAAAATAATACAAGTGCAAAGTGCAATACTTAGTTGTGATATTAGATAGTAGTTTATCAAGATGAAAGTTGATTGTCTTGACCTCGCACATAATTTTGGCAACTAACGCACACAGATGCAGGTGTCTTGTGAAAGCAGCGAGGAAGAGGAAGAAAGGAGAGCGATTTAGCCATATTGGCTAAATTTAAAATTTGCTCATTGACAAGATGCTAAATTTAGGCAATGCCAAGGTTTCCGCTCTGGAGGAAGCCACCTCACCACCCCCCTTCTCCAAGGACGAGAGCTTCCAGCTGTTGGAGAGGAGTCCCCCCGCCGTCGAGCTGGAACCCCCCTTCACCACCCCCCTGGCACCATTCGATATGGAGCTGATGAAACGTCACAATCTTCACGAGAGACTGAAGGGAAAGGACAGTTTTTGGAGAGGACGGGATTTGGGACCGGGATCCCAGAGATTCGTGGACCAGGAGAAGCTATCAGCATCGCGTGAATCACTCAGCAACGCCGATAGGAGAGCCAGGTTTGCAGAGAGGTAAGCTTAACTTAAAAGAGCGGGAAACCCCATTGATACCTTTTTGGACCGAGGAAGTGCCCATTAAAGTTAATTGCAATTGTCTGGTTTTTGTTGTCGTTGTTCTGTAATTGAGTTTGGTATTTGTGGAATACAGGGTGTCTGGCACTATGATTGATAATTATCAATAGATTATCATATATAATATACTATTGCTTTTTCGACCCTAGAATAACTCTGCAAATATATATAAAAACACATTTTTAAAATTGTTTTTATTTTAATCTTGTTTATCTTTTTAATTTGTTATGTGCTGGTTTTTAAGCTAAAAAATTTTTTTTTTTATTCAAGTTGGTAAATTTTTAATTAGTATCGCCAAGATTTTTAAATTAGGTATACTTATAAATTGATTTATTTTTAATATGATTGATTTATTTTAATTTCTTTCATACATAATTATTTGAACATAAATAATGCATAAAAAAAAAATAATCTTTAATATCTGGTACCCACTTTTTAAGGACCCTGTAGTTCTTATCTTTTATTCAGTTGTAGCATAAACATTTAGCTGAAAAAAGTACATTTGCTCAGACACATGAAGTGCGATTCTGTGTATTCACCCAATATTTGGTTTGATTGTTCATAATCTTCGTATATATGTATATCTTCAGAGGCATGACTTGTATAATTCTAGTGACTCACGGAAGGTGAATCCCCTGCCACACAGACCATTTGATATCATCTCATTTGCTATCATGAATAATGGAATTTTCTTTCCCTAGTGGGAAATAGGAAATAAATACTTTGCTCTCATTGAAGTGGGCACACAATGATAATCTTTCATTTACAATCCAACTTGGTAGTGTGTAGGTACATGAGTATAATGCACTTGACATCTGAATGATCAGTCGGTGTCTGGGGCTTAAGTAAACATGTGCTCAAAGCTCTCTCAACCGAGGGTTTCTCTCTCTGAAATAAACAGCTGACTTATGGGGCTATACCTATGTACTATAGGTAATCCCAGGGGGATTGGGGGTTTGAAATCCCCACCCGGCAAAATGCTCAGCTGGTTCCGCTCTCTTCTCAGTTTGTTGTCGTCGCTGCTACGCGTTGGTCGCCTCTCAATTCCTCTCCAAACTTATTTGTTGGTTGCCATTGCCAACGTCCGTGGACTTTAATTTAGTGTTTATGAAATATTCGCTTGGACAAGAGGTGAAAATTTCGACCAAGAATTTTCCGCGCTAAATGTGATTAAATCAGCTGGTAGGTCACGAACTAAGATCTTTAACAGAAGACAATCCAATCACCCCTCAAGGAAACGGGTTTTTTTGCCATAATTCCGTGTGTGTTGTTGCATTAATCATCGTTTCGGAAGAAATCCAAGACAGTATTTTCTTTATCTGTGTTGTGTATCGCACATCGTTTTTTGTGTACCTTAAGTATTACGATCTGTGCGAATGAATAAGCTTTTGATGCATATAATGCCTATAAGATCGGTGGCATTTTAGCATGACCACCTAAATTATATAAGCAATTTTCAGCCACCTTTCGCCGTTGCAGAAATATAACCGAAAAACAAACGCCACACATGTTTAATAAATTAATGTCTCTCTCCCTCTCTTGGCCTTGATTAAATCAAATGCCGAAAATTTCAACGTGTGGGCCTTAATAAAAATCCGCCACCATAACAATGGTTTTGTATGTAAATTTCGATAATATTTTTCATCAAAGAAGTTGAAGATAATTATGAGTTGTGCCAAGGCCGAAAAAGTGTAAAATTGTTTAATGAACTAAAAAGCTTGGACGAACAATAATACAAAAGAGAACGTGGTAACAATAAAGGTGAACGAAAATAAGATTTAGTCAGAGTTCCTTCATTTTAATCTGTTGCTCTAACCAACAATTTTGATTCTTGACGAATCGTTTTAGCATATTATAGAAAATATGTTTATTCATGGATGAAAACTTGTTGCTTAGTACCTGTATTATCTGTATTAGTTTAAAGAACTTGTTAAGAAAATCTTATTAATCGGTTCATAATAACACCGCAGTTTACAAGTATAAAGCTGTCGTGATATAGATAAGAAAATCGTTACACTTCATAAGTCTAAAGTCAGACTGCCTGCTTGATTGCTTATCAGTAGTCATTTTGTATTGTATAATATTATTTCATATATTTCTAACTTGCTTACTAATTTAATCCAAATTATATTTTTACAATTTGCAATTTGAATCACTAAGATTACTCATTTCTTTGTACTTTAAAGTTTAAAATATTCTGGATCTATTAATGCAGTGAATCATTAGAAATCGCATCATATGAATGTGTTTTTTAGCATACAAATACCAAATGTTTGTATGTAACCAATATATTATATTGTTTGCAAAAGTTTAAAGCTCATTTTTGAGTTAGCGCGAGCCACTGCTCTGAGTTTTGAGTAAATTAAATTTAAGATAGCCCGAACATTCATATGCTGAGAAATCTTAGTTTCCAATAAATAGACTGCGTAAACACTTAATTGCTGGGATAAACAGAGCAAATGTTAACTGAGGTCATCTTGTGCGTTTCCTCCGCCCCCCATAATTGTCCCATTAAATGGGACAGCTCGTAAAATTCAAGTAGCTTGGGCTCTCCCAGGAGTGACCTAAATATGTTATTGGGGTTTTGATGGGATATTCGTCCCATTAGGAGCTTTCCGCACGACAGGAGTCGCCGCCTCGGGAAATTAAACGTGTTTTGCTCCCGTTAGCTGGCTCCAAACTGTATCACATTAACTTTACCGGCTGAAAGCATTTCTGAGTGCCTTACACCATGACCTCCGATTGTGTTTTAATGATTGAAGAACCCTTTTGTACTCTACAGATATATGTTCTTTCAATAAAATATTCATCAGTTTTTTTGTCGATAAAAGCTGTATGCTATTGTAATAGTTATCGTCGTTTTTCGTTTCCTGTTGCAATTTGTTCATTAAGTTCATTACTACCATTACAATATTTGATAGCATTTATGATTCAGCTTGAAAAATACAAAATGTACTAAATATTTTTCTTTGGTTTGGTAATCACATGATGTGTTATTACATCATATTACATCATATATTTATTTATTATATTTTACTTTACCTTGCAAATAAACTGATATACTTTAGTCTTTCACTCTAAACTTTATCTAATTAGGTAAATATGATATTTAACCTTATCTTTCACTGTCTAATCCACAGCAACGCCTCCACGCTTCAACTGCCAGACGCTGCCGAGCCCCGGGCCAATGGCAAAAAGCCCACTGGGGACAGGACCAACCCATCGAATCCAGCCGCGCCTCTTCTGCCAATGACTGATCCGGATTTTGTGAAGGGCAACGAAAGCGGCGTCTACGATGATCGCGAGTGCAGCTGTCCGAGGGAGTTCTTCCAGCGGGCCGAGATCAACCCCTCCCTGTTCTTCGAGGACTGCCTCCGGTCCATTGACTTCGTCCTGGCCTACAGGACTTGTGCCCACGAGCCCACGGAGGTGGAGAACACGGAAAAGCGTCGTGTCTTCGAGGCGAATCTCATTAGCCAGGGTCTGGAGGTCGAGGCCAGCCAAAAGGACCAAATCTGGTTCGTTAAGGTGAGTTGGTTAGGCTAATACAAAATATTCCAATTAATTTATATTTAATACTTACAGATCCATGCTCCTTTGGAGGTCCTGCGGCGGTATGCGGAGATACTTAAGCTACGCATGCCCATGAAAGAAGTGAGTCTATTTAGTTTTCCTCACAATCTAATATCAAAATTATAGCATACTTTTGGGCCTTTTGAAAAATTGTGTTATAAACTTCCCAACATTTTTTTTATTTCTACCTTATTTACTTAAATATTTTTAATTATTTTATATTTTGTATGATTTTAGTCTTTATGCAATTTGCGCATATATGAAAGATCGAATCGCCTGCGAAATGCGGCCCAATACCTGTCCAATAAGGTTGGCCAAAGCGTTGAAGTTAAACCAGTTAAATATTTTATTATTAATCCCCTAAAAATAATATAAAATTATCTTGTTTTCGTTTAGCTTCTGCTGTGAGTTGTTTATAATCAAACTAAATCCCCAGCCTAACCTTGATAGAATATAAAGAAATGATAATGTAGAACAAGCCAGCTTGAATGTTATTATTTATTTATTTTCATGGACACATATTTTGGCACTATTTTAAAGAAGTTTTTTAAATCTTACAGATTCCAGGCATGTCCGTGGTTAATCGGTCCACCAAAAGCGTGTTTTCTAGTCTCAAAACTGTTTTCCAATTCTTCCTGCGCAACATCTATGTGGACGAGGACATTTTTCCTAAAAGAGCGCATCGATTCACCGCCATTTACAGTCGCGACAAGGAATATCTGTGAGTGCAAGTGGATGTTAAATTTAAATTTGAGTATTATTAATGTTTCCTTATTTTCTGGCAGCTTTGATATTCGACAGGATTGTTTCTTTACCACCGCCGTCCGTTCCCGCATCGTAGAGTTTATCCTAGATCGCCAGCGATTTCCTGCCAAGAATCAACATGACATGGCCTTTGGCATTGAACGACTGATTGCCGAGGGCGTCTACTCTGCTGCCTATCCCCTCCATGATGTGGGTAACAGATTACATCTACATAGATGAATTGATAATATTAAACCCTTTACTTGTGTTCTTGACACAGGGTGAAATTACGGAGACGGGTACCATGAGAGCCTTGCTTTACAAGCACTGGGCGTCCGTACCCAAATGGTATCGCTATCAACCCCTAGATGACATCAAGGAATACTTTGGAGTCAAAATTGGTGAGCTACAATAATTAAAAATTATATTATGAAAATCTAATGATGTATAATCATCTTTAATAGGTTTATACTTTGCTTGGCTGGGCTACTACACCTACATGTTGCTGCTGGCCTCGATAGTGGGTGTTATATGTTTCCTATACTCCTGGTTCTCTCTCAAGAACTACGTGCCTGTGTGAGTTTTCTGTATTATTTTGTTATTATTTTTCTAATTAAGTGCTGTACTTTCCAGGAAAGACATCTGCCAGAATGCTAATACGAATATAACAATGTGTCCCCTCTGTGATTGGTGCAACTTTTGGGACCTGAAAGAAACATGCAACTATGCCAAAGTCACCTATCTGATTGACAATCCCAGCACCGTGTTCTTTGCCGTTTTTATGTCCTTTTGGGCCACCCTGTTCTGGAGCTGTGGAAGCGCTACTCCGCCGAGATAACCCATCGATGGGATCTGACGGGATTCGATGTACATGAGGAGCATCCTAGGCCGCAATACTTGGCCCGTTTGGAGCACATACCGCCCACGAGAGTGGATTATGTGACCAATATTAAGGAGCCAACGGTTCCCTTTTGGCGCATGAAGCTCCCAGCCACTGTGTTCAGTTTTTCAGTGGTGCTACTTTTGATTGCTCTGGCATTTGTGGCCCTTTTGGCAGTTGTTGTATACCGAATGTCCATGCTGGCAGCCCTCAAAGTGGGTGCTAGTCCTATGACCACCTCTAGTGCTATTGTGCTGGCAACTGCATCCGCTGCCTTTGTGAATTTGTGCCTACTCTACATACTTAATTATGTAGGTGATTATCAAAATATTTTAAATATTTCTTATTTATTAAACATTTTTTTTAGATGTATAGCCATTTGGCTGAGTACCTAACTGAGTTGGAAATGTGGCGCACACAAACCCAGTTCGATGACTCGCTGACACTAAAAATTTATCTACTGCAGTTCGTCAACTACTATGCCTCCATTTTCTACATAGCCTTTTTTAAGGGAAAATTCGTGGGTCATCCGGGAGAATACAATAAACTATTTGACTACCGCCAGGAGGAGGTGAGTCTTAGAATAAACAATTATTCATAATTGATTGAATAAAGTTTTCAATTGATTTAGTGCTCCTCAGGCGGCTGTTTGACAGAGCTGTGCATCCAGCTGGCCATTATAATGGTGGGCAAGCAGGCCTTCAACACTATTCTGGAGGTTTATTTGCCCATGTTCTGGCGCAAGGTTTTGGCTATTCAGGTTGGCCTCTCACGATTATTTAACAACACCCCGAATCCAGACAAGACGAAGGACGAACGCTGGATGCGGGATTTCAAGTTGCTGGATTGGGGTGCCCGCGGTCTGTTTCCCGAGTACTTGGAGATGGTCTTGCAGTATGGTTTGTGACCATATTCGTGGCCGCTTTTCCGCTGGCGCCATTCTTTGCCCTGCTCAATAATATCCTGGAAATGCGACTGGATGCCAAGAAACTCTGACCCACCACAAGCGTCCAGTGTCGCAGCGCGTTCGAGATATAGGTGTGTGGTATCGGATACTGGATTGCATAGGCAAGCTAAGCGTGATCACGAATGTAAGTGGAATTTGGGAACTCAGAGGATCTTAAGATTTAATAACATTTGTCTTATTTTTAGGGATTTATCATTGCCTTTACCTCTGACATGATCCCGCGATTGGTGTATCGGCATTACGTCAACAAGAATGGAACTCTGGATGGTTACCTTAACTTTACCCTATCAGAGTTCAGAGTCGCTGATTCACCCACTTTGAATAGCTTAGCTGGCGATCTCTCTAATATAACCACATGCAAGTGAGTAAAATTAATAAAATTTAAATCAATTAATACTCATTGTTTTTCTATTTACAGATATACAGATTTTCGACTACCACCATCATCTCCTGATAAATATACTCTGAGCAGCATGTTCTACATAATTTTGGCTTGTAGATTGGGTTTCGTTGTGGTCTTTGAGGTAAGTAATCTTAGAAAAGGGTCCAATATTTAAGATCCTTTAGTCGGTTATAACTATAAAAACACTTTAGATCAGTTTCCAAATATTTTTATTACTTAGACCAAAACATATATTCCTGGACCAGGGCTTTAAGTTAACCTTTAAGGATATACGGTAATCCAAATAATTTCAGGCGCTGAATGTGTGAGGGCTCTGGGGAATGACTTCCATGTTCTCACTAGGCGCAGACTTTAGCTTCCGATAGAGTGCATGGATGCCATAAGAAAATAGCGCATTCAGTACTAAATATAATTTTAAAGCTAGAAAATCTCTAACTATTAGCCAGGTTAGCTCACCTAAAAATATTCCAAAATTAGGCTTCTCGCTATCCGACGATCCACTGCGGCATCAAGTTCGTCAATTCTGAGCTCCAGGCTCACAAAAATGCCTGTTTCAACGGCCATTGAAAGACCAGCATTGATCAACCAGGGAGCAATACACACGAGTCGTTTCTTAGAATATTTAATATAATTTTAAGAAATTAGTTTTATATTTAATAATAGAGTTTATTCACCTGTTTGATGCCATCGACAAGAAGGCAGGCCACCATTAAATTTATCAATGCCTTTACCCAAATTATAAACGTTGCTGTCATGTAGAAAACCTGGGAAAACTCTCGTACCCACAGATAATTCACTATAAAATTCATTTAAGATATAACTGATGTTAAGGTAATGCCTCAAAAGTTACCTAATGTGGAAAAGAAGGTTCCAATGGGAGACAAAGCTACTTCGGTATCCTGTTCCCACATTTCAATATCCATAAAATCGTAGTACAGGTAATAGCTAGACGGTACAAGTACGCTGAGAGCTATCAATAGGTCTACACAGGCTATGCTGAGGCCCACCGATGACAGACTTAGAAACTCGAAGTACTTCATTTTGAACACTGTTTTTTTGTTTAATTTTTGAGTTATGCTTTTTAAAATTTTTTATAAAAGATTTTCGTAATCCTGAATTTCGGTTTCGTATCCTTTAGTTTGCTTTCTTAATAATTAATTGTTATCCTTGTATATCCTTTTTATAATTTGAACTTTTTTTTTAACGCGACCGTTTTCCTCGAGGTGTTCACAGCTACTGAATAAAGTTCTTGATTCTATGTAGAACTAGGGCTAATTATCCATTTAGTTGTCGTTTTGTTCTATTCACTTATCTTTTTTTATTTCCCAGCATTCCCTTCCTTTATGCTGCAAAAATCCAAAGTCCATTGAGGTACATGTTGCATGTTTGCTTTGTTGTGTGTGGCTGTGCCGGTTTTGGTTCTAAGGGGTTTCTTTTTTGAATAGAACTCGACCAATTCGTTCCCAATTCCCCATATATTAGGGTTGAGGCTAGCACCTGTCTAAGCTGTCTTTAGCCTATTGCATTTACTTGCCTGGAAAGTTGTCATTTCCGTGGCTTCTTTTGACCCCAAATTGGGTAGCAAAAAAATGTTGTAAATCAGGGGCATGGGATGATGAAATGTCTGCATAAATTAGCTGGAAAGATTACCTTAACATTGATTGGTCTTTAAAATGTATGCTTTCAGAACTTTGTGGCACTGGTGATGATTCTGGTGCGTTGGTGCATTCCGGACATGAGCGTGGAACTGCGGGACCAAATCCGACGCGAAATCTATGTGACCAATGAGATAATCATCGATCAGGAGGCACACCGGGCTCGATTCGGTTTGTTTAGGATTTTTTATTTATACCTAACCTATTTAATAATAAATTTTTAATTTTCCAGAGCGAGCTAAGCGTAGCAGTTCGGTGCTTCAGACGCCAGTTGACCCGGACATGGATGCTGCCTCCATTCAAGAGCCAAATGCAAAGTTCATTAACATTGAAAAGCTCCTTACTGAAAATCTCACCCAGGTTGAAATGGATGCCATTATACATGGCGAAAATCCAATCACAGGGATCTCCGGTGCTGATTGTTTGGAAGAAGTGCACAAAAAACTCAGTGACTAAGCTCAAAGTTCGTCAAAGTGATTCAATTTGTTATGGATGTTCCTCTCAGTCACTTAATTATGCCTTATTTATGACACATTTATTGACATTTAATTATTGCAATTGGCTTGCAATTTGGTTACAAGCTTTACTCCATGCTTAACTTGTTGTATAAGAACAAAGTTATTGATATCTAGGCTATCTTTCTCTATGATATATGAACGTAAAATGACTAATCAGTGCCTCAGACTTATTTTAATGCAGCCCAAGTGAGTGCCAATCTACAAAAGAGCACAATTAGTATATTTTTAAATACTATCGAACATTATGAAATGTAAAAAGAAATCTCCATAGGACAAATCTTACTTACATCTATGAAAGAGCACAATTAGCGTACTTTAAAATACTATCGAACATTGTGAAATGTAAAAAGAAATCTCCATAGGACAAATCTCACTCATGTTAAAAACTCAGGCTCTCAAATGACTCGTACATGAACATTTATTTTAGATAGTGTAACATATATAAATGTATTTATTGCATTCATTGAAATGTATATTGATGTTGATATACTGAAATCTCTATTTAATGTTGATATTAATAATAAACATTTAGTCAAATATTGGTGTACATGAATTATTATTTATTATATATTATTTATTATTATATTATTATAATTGAAGATTGTTTGAAATATTTATTATTTCCATATTACAATATTGGCATTTATGGAAGTCGTTAAAGTTTGAGGGTTCTTTAAATGAAATATTGGTATTATGGTAATCGTTAGAATAACAAGGTGTGAATATGATAAGATTTAATATTTTTAGGGTTTTTAAATGGTATACCGAAATAATTGAATGAATAAGTCTTATTCCTAACAATTGGTTTATTAAGTTTTTAATTCTAAGTTAATTAAAATTGTAATGAAATGGACTATATTTATCATATAACCGTTCTCAAAATATATTTAAAAAAATTATTTAAAGTTCGAGTTTGAGGAATTGAGTTATGTTATTTTTTAATAGGTGGGAATATATTTTTCTCTGAATTCATGTTATGAATTCGCCATATGAATGTCGATATGCCCCACATTTCACATTGTAGTGCCCTGTGACGCCATCGGCCATCCCTGGTCGGCCAGAACGACCCCCTTTTCGCCACCTGAGGGGTGAAGGGGGTTCCAAGTGGCGCAACAAGCATGCATTTGGGCCAAGCACATTCGGCGCCACAGCAGGCGACTTCCTCAAGATACAGATACAGATGAGTATTTGAGTGTCTGAATATCTTGGGTACCTATATCTGGGTATCTCTCGCGCTCAGGCTGCGCATGAGTCGAGCCAACGGTGACGTCACTCGAGAAAAGCGTGCGCGCTCTCAGCTGATTTTGACCGCCTGCTACGCGCACATGGCGATATGGCGGTATCGTGAAAATACAACTCGCATACATTTTCATTCGCTCGCCTGGTTTTCCACAGTGCACAGTGCAGAGGCTGAGCGAGCGGTTGACTCCTGTTTTGTGTGTATTTTTGGGTTCAGTTTACGTCGCGGATTGGCAGTAAAAACATCGCAGGACGAAATACGCGATGCCGGGCTCGATGACATTGGCCCCAGGCAGTGCATTCGTTTATTGCCCCAAGACGCAGAGGTCCTCAGCGGCGTTGCCCTAGGATATAGTACTCGCCCTGAAGTTCCCACGCAACTGTTGTCCTGGCAACTGGAAGCTCATAACCAGGACTTGTGGTGGGTCAGGCCTCGAATCGCATCTCCGGGTGAGTCAATTAGTTCACTTTAGCTGGCCTTTATTAGATTCATAATTAAAGAAGCATTCGGAACTGTCATGCTAAGCTAATTGAGGTTTTTGTGGTTTGCTGCATTGCCCATACGACCCGTGGTATCGCCTTCACAGTGCTAAAAAATATATCCACTAAAATTTAGTTATCAGTTAAAAAAAGAAATTTGCATAATAATTAATCCTTATTTAAAATGTAATTTATATCAGTTATATGCTTATCTGGATAATATTTTAAATAATATTATACACTACAGCAAAACATTTAAAACGTTTTGGTTAAAATTATAATACAATTTAATTATAGATATTATTATTTTGGTCTTATAATGTTGGTACAGATTTGTAGAAAATATTTGAATTTACACAAGACTGTTGAAATAAATTATTTCTATCGTCAAAAAAATGTAATTAGTTAATCTTAAAAAGCATTGACTTGGGTATCATTGATTTGCTGCAAGAAAGTTGGCAATTATGCTTAGTTTCCTGTGCAGCTCCCCATCTCCTCATTCCAGATATTGATTTTTATTGCCGGCGCCGGCAAATACTCGTATTTGAACAGTCCGTCTGTCACCATTGTCCCGCCCAGGAATTGCAGTGCCCTTTGTGAGTTTTCCCGGACGAAGGAGTTTGCCAGGACTTTGGTTCTTTGTGCCGACAGACATTTAAATCCCCACTAACGGGGCACCATTTATATCAGTGCAAAGTACGCAGCAGAAGTTGTATTCCTTTCAGGGCAATAAGTTCCTTGAACCTCCAGAAAAGAATGCAAAAATAATAATAAAGGAAGGGAAAATTCCGCACGAGTTGGCAAAGACTTTGGCAGCTTTCATGCTAATGAGATTGAAATTTTATTGATTTAATAATTCCGACTAAGTGAATCACTCTTTATAATCCCCATCCGTAATGCTAGGTATTATTTCAATAATAATAATTACTCAGTCGCGTAATGACGTCGATCGCTTATGCTGGCCATTTTAATTATTTACAATTACAATGGATTTGCTAAGCCGCCAGCTGACGAAAGTCCCGTCTGCCTGTAATTACCCTTGTGGCATATCATGACCAATATTCCACCCCATACCATGTACCTTCTCGTATTACGTGGATCCCCCCTGGTGTCCCCAAGTAAGTGCTAAATAATGCACAGAGAATGCAAAGTGTTTCTAGTTCGGCTCTGTCGTTCCTGTTTGCCCCACTCGGAAGACTCTGTCCTGACATTGAATAATGATGTTGTGAGCTGGCGTTATTAATGCCTTCCGAAGCGTAAATATGAAATTTTTGAATAACATGGGACCATCAAACTAAGCTTGACAACTCACTCAAACCGAGCATACATTTTAAAAAGGAACAGGATACCGATACCGGCTTGTTAAATCAATGAAGTGTGTGAAAAATTACGCATACGTCATGTGGTACTGGTCAGGGATTTTGCCTGCCCAGGCTTTCATGTCCATTTTTCACAATTACTTACTTAATTGTAGTAAGCGGGCAGCTGGCTTTGTAATTTACATTCATCAATTTTGATTTATTTTTAAACCGTATGGTGTCCAAAAATGCATTAATCATTAATTTATAAGTCTGTTTTCACCTTTCAATTTCACTTATCATCACTGAAACCGCTTTAATCTGAATATTAAGAACAAATTGCGCAAATTACCTATACGCTACGTTCTGAAAACGAACATTTCCGGTGCTCTGTGAAAAAGATTGATATAGGCAGAACGATAAGCAGAAATGCGCTAATTTAATTTGGCTTTTTGACTTACACTCTTACAATGTATGCATGCCACTTTTTCTTTTCTTTAAAAACGAAACTTTTGTTTACCAAAAAATAGCAAAGGCATCAATTTGCACCACCATAAGAAACCATAAGTAATTGTTCGGTTATCATAATACAGAAGCCCTGGAGAAACAACAAGTGAGTAATGAACGCAATTTCCTTTCAACTTTGAGCATAATGGGTGGAAATCAAAGAACTGCTGAGTCATAGAAATTTTTGGCCTTTGTATGCACTTCCCAAACTTTGCGTTCATGAAAATTCATATATGTATATTTGTATACCTCACTATAGCACACGCGATTTGCGTGCTTATAAATTAAGGCAACGTCTGCCTCTGTGTATTTTGCTGTCCTTGAGCAGTCCTATAAATAGATCGGGCCCCCTGAAGACCCCCCAAAGACAACGTCCGCACCGATGTCAAGTTCCGAGTTCCATTTACACGCCAGGAGACCCTCAATCGGAGGAACCTGCTCATCCCCTTGCTGCATTTCCCAAGTGCTGGCCATTTTGTTAGCACAGTTGTAAATCGTATTAGATGGTAATTTTCACTTGTTCTGATGATTTACGATGCCTCGGATCTTACAGCAAGGAGTTGATTTCATTACCGTGGTGAAAGCTTATCGGGTTTCGTTTTTGGATAAACAAACCCAATCTGCGTCATTCGATTCCTAATTAGTTAATTTTGCCCCGCATTCGCATTTAAATTAGCGATCGCATAAATCCAAGCTGAAAAACAAAAAAACCCACCATAAGCATGTCTAATTGTTCAAAATCACAATAACATTCAATGGAATTATTTACCTGATGATGGAAAATATTTCATTATTTGTTATTAAAAAATAAA